AAATGACAAAAATATTCACCAAAATTAGAGAATTGAAGATATCAACATGAAATGAACAAACCTAAGAGAGGTCTACCCAAGGTACATATACACCAAGTATCAAAGCATTCAGGCTTGTAGTTTTCAAGAAGAAGTCGAAAAAGTAAAACATTGACACGGACGAAGGACGACGACGACGGACAATCACTCATATGATAAGCTCCGCTCGACAAAGTCGACAGCGGAGCTAAAAAACTAAATCTGCCATTTAACAGTCCAGGGCAAAATTACAGAAAAATTTGTGAAATTCTAATTATAATTATGAGTATTTATTTTCAGTGCCAGGGATAAAAGAGATAATATGTGATTACAACAAGATATCGCACAGTCTGCACAAAAACAGATTATCGTCCAACGTGCTGCGAAGGTTGATGCAACCTGGTATGCATAAATAGTCTACAGTAATAATTTTATCAATATACATCTTTCCTTTCCAATCAATTGGTGTATGAAACCCAGAACTGGGCAATGAAACATAAATAGTGGTAGTATATTACCGGTAGTACAAGTTTTATTTAGAAATTCATTTTGAAACATATCCACCATCTTGGAAATAATTTGCGTAAACTGAGAACAGACTTCTCAAGGTAGAGTGAACCAAGTGAGTATTGGTCACCAAATCTGAGAGGAGAATAACGCACTGGAGAGAAGCACTTGTAACTTAGATGTTTATTGATCAACTGCTAGTCCTAGAACTGAGCCTAAATGATACAAAATGTTCCATACAATGTATCAATATCATTATGCAAATAACTAAACTAAACGTTATAGCCTCAAATCATTACAATGTGTAATCAACCCATATTTAGATTTTGCATTTATTTATAAGGTGGATGCTATACCTTTCAAAGATAAAGTGACAGATGTAATATATTGTTATTTGTATTAAACAGAAAAGCTTACCCATATAAGCCAAGTGAGAGCTAGAGGTGATACGTCTTCTGATAGAATCAAGTGTGTATCTTGTCACTTTCAACAAAGCATCTAAATTACGATGATTGAAATGAGACAACAATTCCTGAGCAGACTCCTCAATGTTTTCTCTTTGTTCACGTTTCCTTCTGGCAATAGTCTGGGCCACTGCTGACTGACCTCTGCTAGGACTGGCATGTCCACTGGCATGTGATACAGAACCACTGGCACGACGTTTCCTGTCATCTTCCTCATCTGAACATTGAAAACAAGCATTGGGAGACATAATGTAATTATTCTATCAAGGTGACGAAGATAGAGACTGTATTTTATAACGATTATATTGTATATACCAGGTAACAGTGTTTAAAACAGTTATAACATAGCACTGGCATATCATTATATGGTTGTCTTTTTGTTTATGCTTCTAAGAAATGGTAGAATTACACTAAAGCGTGGTGGTCATCGCGCAGCACATGTTCAAATTTCATGTAAATAAACAATGTATTTCACACGCGATGTATACATCGCTATGAGCTATTTAGTGCTCTCTCCTCCTCATCATCATCAAATGTACAATGATTCTGATTTATTCTTTTGTCAGCTTACCATCACTCCCTTCATCCTCCTCTTCTTTTTCTCCCTCTTTGGCTGGTTCTTCCAGTTCATCCACAATAAGCATATTGATGAGCTCATTAGCAGCTTCTTCAACCTGAGTGCTCTTGATTTGCAAAGTAATCGCTCCTCTATTACACAATTCCTAGAAAGTCGAATGACAATAACAAATTAATTAATTCCTTCCCCAACAAATTTGTTAAAAACACTTGTATTGGTGTAAATATTGTATAATTAAATGAGCTGGTATCTGTTTCCATGGAAACAATGACTCAGTTTATTCCTTAAGGCCACTGACAGCCATTTTGAATTGAAAACTACATACAACAAATTCAGCTACCAAAGTTTTTACATGTACTGACAGTGGCAATGATTTGGTAACATTTTTGGAAATTCCTGTATCAAAACTGTGTCTATTCTTAATGCTAGAATTTAAAAATGAAATGTACATGTTGTATGCCAAGTGTTTTCACCTGAGTTTTATCCAGAAATTGTTCAGCTGTCCATGGTTCATCTTCTGGAAGTTCACATAACATAGTAGTACTCATCTCTTGTAGAACAGAATTAATACGATACTGTACAAGGTCATTTGCACGATCCATCAATAATTCTAACTCTCCTGAAAAACAAAACAAAAACATTTTACATAAATATTTAATAAATTCCAAATCCATGCCTTGGTCTAAGACGTGTAAATGTGTACTTGATCCAGACAGTCCTAACACCTTAACCTTTTTCAACAGTTCCCTCTTTTCATCACAAAATTGTCCTGTTTATAGTCCGCTCTTTCCTTCAGAAAATTGGGACAAAAATAGACAAATTTTTGTAGTAAAAACTGAAAATTGTCTATATTGTGTCTGTTGCCTCCAAATTTAGGGTCCGTTTTTCAGAAAGAATATAAGAAAAATGTGCAGAAAAAATTTGGGTGAGAATGTTTAGTGGTGAGAAGGGTTAATGGGTTCCCTCAGAGATGACCATTCATAAAATAAACCTTCAGTTATTTTTTTATCAATTCAAATATTTTGATCAGAAACTGTGAGCAACAAACAATTATGTATATTTGGTTCAAAATTAACAAACAAATTATAGAAAATATGTACAAATTTGCAAAATGTTTTACCCAAATTTTGGCAAAAAAATTTATAGCATTCAAAGGTTTGAAGATTAAAAGTAAACAGACAGCACAGAGATGACTGCAAAGTACAATCACTAACTAGACTACCTCTGTACAGCCATCTTCAATGTTTTAAAACAAAAGCATGAGAAGCATAAAATATGCCCCCTTTTCTTAAATATTTGGTTGACAAGAACCTTTTTCTATTATTTTTTGGCAAACTGCTTAAATTTACCCAAAATTTTTAAAAATAGTGACAATGAGGACAAGAGCAGGTAGCTTATATAAAATTAGATTCATCATCAGGAAATGAACAAGTCTTACCTAAAGCATCGTACACATCTTTCACATAGGTATCAATGGTCATACTGGTCCATGTCAACTTAGTGAGACCCGGTTCTATTGCATCATCTAGTTTGGATATATGTGGGGCCATTAATGGTTCAAATGCTGCATGTATCTTTCCACATACTCTCTTATTTTCAGACAACAGTAGCTACAAATAAATCACAACAAGAATGAAATGTAAGTAAATTCTAAGTATTCTAAATAATTCTCATTCAAAATCACGAGTAACAAAAATGTTCTCTGATTACTACATTAATAAGTACCTATGTCTTATTTTTTTTGTGACAGTTAAAAGCATGTTTTCTAAATCACTAAATTAATTCTTAAAAGCCAGTAATTTGGCCAACATGTACCTGTAACTTGTTGTAGTTCTCTTTAAAATAACCTTGTTTTTGACGTAATGCTTTGGCTGCCAAAGGTATCTCTAATCCCATCCTAGCCATACACTCCGCCTCTCTGATCAGTGTCAAGATTTGTGGGTCAAAGTTCACATACAAATCGCCACTTTCGGGATGACGAACAAGCAACGAAGCATGAAGGCCAGATTTTGATGCTTCTACTTGACGTAACCATGCACGATGATACAAAACTTCAAACTCCATCAATACTTTAGCCAACTTGTTGAAATTCTTGATGACCTTTTTTCCCTCGGGTGATGAGAGTATTGCCGGAAATTGCTGGAACGTCTCCATTGGTTCTTGTATGCGTCGATACATCTGTCGTGCCCACATTATCTTACCAGCTATCGGTGGGAGATCTCTCGCAACCGGTGGATCATTTTTGTTCTTCTGGTAACTACGTGAAGTATTTTCAATTTCCCGACCATATTTCTGCAGAATTATGGAATACTTCTCCTCAATGCCAAGATTAGGAATGTTTAATCTAGAAAAATACATAATTAACTTATTCACATATTAACATAATTCAAAGAACAATTAGGACAATTCATTTAAAATGTAGTTTGCAAGTGACAAATTTTCATAAATTTCACTAACTTATATAGCGTATTTCACACTAAATGTCACAACTGTGAATTTCAAAACTGTGTACAATGTATAAAGATCAAAAATTGAACTAGTGAAATAAAACACCAGTGAACATTAATGTTTTTACAATACCACAATCTGTATTGTTCAAAATGGATGTGTAGTGATAAGCAGTGACTTACCTTTCAAATTTGTTGATAAGAGTCAGGGCTCTCCCCACATTATGAATTCTGTCAAATGCATGATTCATAAATGACTTGATTTGTGACTGTTGAGATACAAATAAATAATAAACTGATGATATGTGATATTAACTTGATATGACTTTCATTTCAACATATGAGGATTGCTTTCATTATACACAGCTCTACATTTCACTTGCATTACGGGTTAGTGGTTATCCTGACACATAATTTTCAATATAGTCCCATGTGAGGTGTAAAAAATATGTAATATACATAGTTTGTTTACTTGAAATTTATACGATGACCACAACCCCTAACACATCACCTTATGACACCACTTTTTTCCATTGATTTTGGTCTCTAAACAGTCTACATGAACTACCAGGAAATCAATATTTTATTTACATGTTAAATATAATAATATTGTAATATTGCAACAACTCAAATATGAAAAAGCATTATTAAGTAATTAACAACCATGTTTGGGTATTTTACTGAACAAAATATATTTGCTAGTTCAAAACTGTCAACAAATGGTGACAACAATTTTAAACACATGAATCTGTTTGCAATATAAATGCACTATACAGCAGATTTTAATTTATTTAAATAATTCAATACTTTTTGCATAAATACTTGTAAAATTTTATTTACCTGCAATTCTGATATCTGTCGCTTGAATTCATCGTAATCAATGTCAAAATCTGCTTTTCTCTGATCTAAAGGATTGTACGGTTTCTTTCTGATTGTGGTGATGATAGCGTTGAATCGGCTTGCCATCAACTCCATACCTAAATACAATTAGAGAGCAAAAATATGTCATGATTCAATACATTCCGCTAAAAAAAATTCTAGAATGCTTGGAAAGAAGTTTGAAAAAGCATTTCTTAACATCAATATGGCCACCCACCAGTTCACATTCAGTGTGAAAATATTACGCTTAGAGATTTTTTGAAAATAAGCTGATGACAAATTAGTGGAGGAAAGAAACAAATATTCCAGCCATATGAACCCAGAATTAGCCAATAAAAAATCAGACATTTCCCAGAATTATTTTTGTGCATGTGATGAAATTTTTTTATGGAAACTGTTTTCTCAGAATTATTCATTGTTTTAATTTGAATTTGTCTTCTTCAGTGGCAAAAGTGACATAATATGAGCAAATTAGATAATAGTCGCCTCTCGGAAAGTTAGCTGATTTGCCTATAAACCAAGGATTAGCAGGAGGGCAGAAATTGACACTTGACCCGATTCTTACCTTCTATTCTACAATCAGATAATTTAGAGTAGACTACGATGGAATCAAAGATATCAATAATCTTCAGAAGACGTCTCTGAAAGGTATCAAACTTTCCAAAGATGTACATTTCAGAGAAATCAAATTGTCGCTCATTCGGCATATTTTCCAGCTTCTGTTTGGTTTTCTGGAAGCAGCGTTGGTATTCTTGATTCAAGCGTATGCATGCACGCAGTTTTTCGATTAGTTCATTTCGTGGTTGTTCCCAAATAGTGTACATTCCATCACATGTGATGTATGACTTGCAGGCCGTGATCATTTGGTTCGTAACCTGAAAGCGTACAAAAAGAACATGTGAATAAACATGTTTGTACTAATGTGGTAATTAAAGGAACTATCGAGCCAAAGAACATAATGACCCCTCAAGAAAAACTCCACAAATGTAGGAGAATGCAATTTACAGTTTTTTTATGTCACTTTTCATTATCTAGATATTCAACTTTTCATCAGTATTATGTAGTCAGCCATCTTGACTCTCAAGCAAAGAATTATGGGTAAAGTATGACATCATAGAATCTGTTGTCAGAAATTGAAAAAATGATTTCTATAACATGAGAAATACTGATCCGAATTAGTTCACATTTTCGTTGTGCATATTATTCATGTATATAATTATAGTAATGAAATCACTTCATTTTTTAAAATACATTTGAGATACACCAAACTGAAAATAGTCAAGATTTTATATTGATCAATAAAATATCCATGTTTGGAGATGATCAAATACAAATATGATAGTTAATTTGTATTACCTTAACAAAGAGCGATGTCATTCTTTCTGATGTGTTGTAGTAGCGAGATATACTGTGAATCATACGGATAGCATTAACCAATCCAGGAATCGTTTCAACCATACCAACCTGTATAAATAAGTAACATTGTCAAGTTAATGATGTCAATATTGAACATCAAGGCCCCATACCATGCATAGAAATGTAATGTTGTATTGGGAAACAAAAAATGGACATTATGTGATATAATAGAATTTAATAATAACATGCCATTTACATTGGATTTAATATTGAGAAAAAGCAATTTATCATCTCCTCTCATATGCAAAACAGGTTTGATCACAAATACTGCTGCATAAGATACAATATAGACGTGTATTTCACTGTGCTCAGACAGACATTTTACTTGTTATTCACTGCCTTTTGCAAATTGCATCTTGGGAAAAGGTCAACACAGTAGACATTTGCATAACACAAACAAAGAAGCAATTAATGTTCTATTGAGTGTGTTTTATCAGATATCAACTCTTAGAGGTTGTCCAAAATATATTGAAATATTTCAATAAGGGCAAATGTTAATCTCATTAGATAAACTTTCACTTTATCAAGCCGCTAAAAAAACATGACACAAAATCAGCTCACCATTATGATAGTATTTAAATCTAATACAAGTCCCATATAACGAGTTATAAGTGTACAGAAAAATAAAAGGACATGATCTGAACCTGGTCCCATATCTGAATTGACAGTTTAAATCACAGCCTATTAAATTACCACCACTACAAAAAAATTAAGTAACTAATTTTCACTAAATCACAAAATTCACAAATGTCAATCTTAAAATTAAAGTACTTTTACATACTAATGATACACATTAAGTAACTTACAGGATCACTGTTGTAAAGTGGATCACAGAATTTTTCTAATGTGTACAGATATTTGACATTGTCTTTGGCTTCATTAGCTGCATCTGTGATTCTTCTATCCAAATCCACCCAAATCTGAAAAGAATTCACGTATACATTGAATATTACAAACTGATCACTAGAAGCTTAGTGATTGTTGCAGAAAACCATTACAATTTAATGTTGTCACAGGGTGTAATCAAACTTAGTCTATGAATAAAATAAGATACAAATTTACTTTTTCTATTTTTCTATTGAAAATACATTCTGTAGTTTGCTATACTGTACTTGTCCAACTTTGTGTCCATGCTAAGTATGGTATGTCTGGTGTCTAATGTCTAATAACTCATAGAATTGAGTTTAGTATTTTAATGTATTTGTATGGTATAAGTGGAAACCCACCTTGACTGTTTTAGACTTTGCTGCCTGTAGAACAGTCAGGACAGCTTTGACATCAGATCCTTTTATTTGGTCTAACAGATAGTTAAATTTAGCCATCCTCTTTTTCCAATGTTCTAGTTCAGCTCTGGGTCCAATGTTGTCTGCTTCTTTCCTCATCTGTTCACTCTCTGCCAACACCTATAGATATACCGGTATATGAATGAACACTCCATCAACACACAACATAGAATTGTAATATTGATTTGACAACTATCAGAAAGTTTTATTAGAATTTTTGACATATTAATGCAAAATCAGCACTTTTATAAATATTTCAGTTGCTTATATTTAAAAGAAATATTTTTTCGCCATAACTCAACAACTCAATGTATGTTTGGTGTCAAAAATGAGAACATAATATTGTTTCAAGTAACATACTTGTTCAATTTGCTTAATCCATACTGCTATGCATTCCTCTATAGCTTCCAATGATTCGGTGCTATTAGCTGCTGCTATGTAATCATTAGGTTTTTTCAGTTTTGCTAGATTGTAAGTCTGACATGGTTTTAACTCCACTTTGTCAAAAATACACTCTTGTGCTCCCACCAAAACGGAAACATAGGAATCTAACTTATTCAGGAAATCAGCTCTGATGAGAGTCCCTTCAAAGTTACTAATCTTTCCCCAGCCATTGGTGTTCTTTCGGAGAGCAGGAATAAAAACTGTTGACATCATCTGGTCCACTGATGCTAGGAGTCCCTTTTCACAGGTATCAAGCACAGTGAAGGTGATATCCTATCAAACAAGAAATATATCAATAAATAATAGTAAATCTACAAAATTGAATACAGAGAAACTGACAATGACCAGGTTGATTTGAAAAATGAACCGGTACCAGTCAAAGTAAATAAGTATTGAAGTAAAACCTTAAATTTCCAATTTTCATATTAAAATCAGCATTATTCAGGGCTCAAAATTCTGAGGCCATGGAGGGAATTGTCTAGATCCCCAATCTGAAAGCATATTGATGTCTTTCAATATGTCAAGCAGTCTAAGGCATTTTAAATGTAAAAAATATTGGCCTTGGGTGCCCTCCCAAGTTCAAGTCCTTAATTATAATAACATGTGTATATTTTGGCATTTTGATACGTCATTGCTGTACTGCACATTGACATCAAATTTGGTAACGAAAGATCATGCAATATTGCGGTTTGTGACATAGATATATAAAAACATAATAATATACACAAACAAAATGAAAGCACATTACATAAAGCATGTATCAATTTCAAACATTTACAGCATTCTGTGTTACATATCATTCAGGTTTCTGTACAATATTGTCAAAATAGATGATATCACAACAAGCACATACTGGTGGCATATCATCTCAATAACAATGAATGACCCACAGTGTCATACTGAATGTCAATGTGCACAGAATTAAATAGAAGATCAACTGCACTAGGTTATGATATGCCCTCAATATAAATTAATGCAAATCATAGAAAACATTACATTCCCACAAGAAATACAGAAAGATCTAAAAATATTTAATTTCTTGATGTCTTTGAAAGATGATGTTAGGCAATTATAATCATAACTCAAAAAAGAAATGAAAAAATTGTCTGATATGTAACATTTTATCATATTACCGATTTCTTTTCCTTTTATAGTAGTAGTTATGACAACTAATCTTTATTGCTATTAACTGATGGAAACTTTGTATTTCTAAAGATGCAATAAAGTTATTAATATTTTATGCAAGATGGTGTGTGAATGTTGTTTTGCAAAGTGGGAATATACTTTACTTACTTTTGTGATGTTTTCAGTTGAAATTACTTTGTCTGAACTGGTTTTAGAGAAAAATAAACACACTCCTGTCAATGAGCTTTCACTTCCATCAGTGACACACAACTTTGATTTGGCAGATTTTCTAACCACTTGTGGGGGACCTAATCTTATCTGATCAGCTGAAATGAACAAAATAGAAAGTAGATTTGAATAATACATTATTACATCACATACATGAAAGATGAAGTACACTTATACTGCAGTGAAATAATTTTGTGTCTTTCCATACTGATTATCAAAATATTGTTTGAACATCGGAATACTATAATATTTTCCCATCACAATTCTTATGCAAATTTTTACATGTTTTTCTATAATTTTTTGTAAATTTTAGATCAATTGGACATCATTCCCCATTGGGTACACACCTTGATCAAAATTTTAGAAAAAATAATTATAACAATCATGCAGGTTTCAGTGTGTGATACAAAGATTACAGCATTCAAAAAATTATGCTAACATGCTAACTATGATTTCAACTATTGACATACCTGGTTCAGGACCCGGATCTGTGTCCTGATAAAAGAACATCAACGTGGTGGGTCCATCTGCATCAAAAAAACCATCCATGGATTCAATTTGCTTGCCATCCAAAATGGCGTCCACCACCTCTGTATAGTCCATACCAAGATAGTCTGCCAAGGTTTGTAAAACATACTCATGTCTGCCATCTAATTGGGCCTTTTTAGCTTCTCGCTCTTCTTTTAATTTTTGCTAAAAACCAAGAAAAATTAATTGTTTTAAAATTGTTATGACATTTGAGCTATAAAAGTGTATAAGATTTGTATTGACCAGGGAATTTTTCTATATACTATTAGCGATAAAAGTAAACGTAAAGAACATGAATAGGTGTGGAAACCTCTATGGCCAATGTAAGAACAGCAGATTTAGCTCACTGATAGAGAATATTTACAATATTAAAGAAAAGATTTGGTAAGCAAAGAAAGACTCAATTGCGAAACTGGAAATGAGTTTATTACCATATTAAAGAAGAAGGTAACACAGAAAAACACTACTGGTATTTGAAAAAACAGCATGTAATTAAGACTAATTAATTAGTATTTCTAGAAAAGTTTGTCTTGCAATTCATGTGAAAACAATTGCAAGGGGGCAATGGATCTCTATTTCTCTGTCCAGGGAGAACACTGTAATATATATTACAGATGAAAAGAATTTTGAACATTGTTCAGTGACACACACAACCCACAGAGCTTACATTATACTTTACAACAACAGCTAATGTGGTGGACTGGTGGGCAAACAAAAAATGTACCAAATATGATGTGTATTTATTGTATATTAGATCATTCAAATATGACTCATTTTGACCATAGACACACCTCCAAGTACATGTGCTACTAATACAGCTCATTATTATTATTATTTGTTTAAAATGCACAACTGTCGATTATGAAAAAAATTGGTATACAAGGTTTCTAGAACCTAAACTGAGGTTTAATTGAAGAATCATTTTTATGGAATGTTGACAAACAACGATAATTGACAAACAATGGCAATAAAAACAGACAAGCAGCCTCTCAGCTGAGATAGCTCCGCTGTTAGCAATGCACATTTCAATTAAAGAACAGAAGATGTCATTAGAAAATGAGCAATATGCATAGTATCAATGCAATGGGACTTGCTGTTTTCGACTAGAATTCAAAAATATCACTTTTCACCAAAAATGACAAAAATATTCATCAAAAGTGCAGAATTTAAGATATCATCATACAAATGAACAAATTTGAGAGTGGTCCACATGTAGTACCTATATATGTAATATCAAAGCAATTGGACTTGTGGTTTTTAACAAGAAGTCGAAAATATCACTTTTTACCAAAAATGACAAAAATATTCAACAAAATTAGAGAATTAAAGATATTATTACAAAATGAACAAATCTGAGAGAGGTCCACATGTAGTACCTATATATGTAATATCAAAGCAATTGGACTTGCGGTTTTTAACAAGAAGTTGAAAATATCACTTTTTACCAAAAATGACAAAAATATTCACCAAAATTAGAAGTCGAAAAAGTAAAACATTGACACAGACGACGGACACAGGACGACGGACGACAGACAATCACTCATATGATAAGCTCCGCTCGACAAAGTCGACAGCGGAGCTAAAAATTTAATATCACTTTTCAACTCCATCAAAGTCATGAACAAAACCCTGCCAACATGCATACTGTTGGTCAAAGTCCAAAAATATTTTTGTTTGTAACAAAAAACTTTGAAATAACATTTTCGGGAATTTACTTTCAAATGATAAAGTGTCAAATTCATTGGACCACGCCATGTCCCATATTGTATATACAAGTTTAATGGTTGACACAAACAAAACATTAATTGTTTACATGAAATTCAAGTGTGCTGCTAGACCGTGACACTTTATGTGATACATTGTAATATGCGAGTACATGTATGTCTTTCAACAATCTATTATTCATTGAAATGTCACTTACAAGTTAGGGTAACCATGGCATACATTTTGGTAATCAAGTATGTACTAGTAATGGAGGATACATTTTACATTTGATCATCCTAAACTCCACAGGAATGTACATACATGTAAATTGTTATTTTCACATGAACCAAAAATTGCTTTTATTATATATTAGTTTGTTAAAATATGATTTATTATCACCATGAACATACCTGTACCATTCACATGTAAACATTTAGTTCCATGATGTATGTAAGTGTATATGTTACTAATAAAGTAAATATGGTATCCAAACAAATTAAACATTTAATAAATATTTTCAAGTGATCTTTTCAAGGGATAGGCGTCTTCAACTTAATCCTTATTATATGTACAATGCAAGAACCCCCAGTGGCATTTTCTGTTTTGAATAAAATATTATTTTTAACAACTTCTGATGCTGTATTCTAATTTATTATCTGATTATATAGACATGTAGTAAATGTTTTGTGCAAACTTGATCTTGACAACGGCAGCCATTTTGAAAGCACTGCCTTCATACAATCGCACTGACAATAGATGTTTTGTCAGCAGCAGTGACCTTAATTTTTTGTTGTCAGTAAGAATAATATAAGCATTTTGTTGAAGGTCTACGTAACAGTTATTGCAAGACTGGAATAACTTTTGAATGGCTTCGCAACCATGAAGGTGACCATGCAGTAATGGATTAGGCTATGATTGTACGATGGCTAACTGGCTAGATTACATTCACCCCAGTACTATCTTTCCACTAATAAATTCACCTCAGTTATCAATTAAGTCACCAAATAATGATGAAACAGCAGTCAAAATCAAATGAATACTCAAATAGACATATCAACTACTTGTGTATACACAATCATTGCATAAGAAAATATAACTATATTATGATAAAAATGACCAAACACAAGATATTCCGTTAAATGGCAAATGATGTGAAACCTTACTTTTTCAACCATGGTTGTCTTAAGCTTGACAGATGCAGCAGCTTTCGCTGCCTGGGTCGCCATTTTGTCCTCAATAGCTCCACGAGGTGTATAGCGGTAACCAAGTCTTTGTATTGTACACTCTGCTATCAAATAACCTTAATTTAACAACACAAACTGCTACAAGGATTTTTTGCTTTTTCTTCTGGCTAACAATAACAGTTTCTTTGATCTATTTAAGACAGCCCTTGGTTGGCATGGAAACTACATTGAAATACACACACACTACCCAGTGACAATTGACTTTGTTGACATTTAATGGAACAGCCGATACTCATCATATACTAGGTCAATTGCAAAAGATGGTGAGATAAGGGACCACGTGAAAATATTGCTTTATGTCATAAATAGCCAAGAATAATGTACTTGTTGTGAGTACATTTCAATCACACTCTGTATTTGTGTAATAGCAAGGGCAACAGTCAAGGACGCAGTAGAAAAAATTGGAGATCTACCTCCTAGAGTAAATGGAATGTGCCAAGAATATTCATAAATAATCATGAATTAGCTGTGATAATTAATTCTAAAGACATAAAATTATTGAGCTTGTATCCAACCAAGGGCAATTTTTTTGCGAAGTACTAAAGGAATCAATTTCATAGTTTTATTTTCAGTACTACTGCGTGACATGTTTAACAATAGGTCTGTAAATAATACAACCACTTTGGCAGTATATACTATAAACAATATAGGCCATTATACAATGATCTCATTTTGCCTTTCCTGTTTGTGTATGAATGTCTGTGGAAAAAACTGACATTTTCTTTTTGTAATTCAGCTATGTGATATGACCTGTATTGCCCAGTGTAGCCATGATAGCGATTGTACACATATAGCATAGTGACACCATGGCAACCAAGCAAATTAAGACTACCTAAGTTCAGTAAATTTCTGCTTCCAGAGTATTTAACTTACTATATCTGCATAATAAACTGATTCAACATCAGATACAACAGTTAGTCAATGAACATCATGAATTATTGTAGCAGTGAAAATGTCTCTCATGTCTTATGGAGTGCCAGTGAAATATTGTAAATCATAAAATCCTGAAATGAGGAAATTTTCTACAAATGTAGCAGTGAAAAATTAAATGGTTTACATTAGTAATAAGAAGTAGAAGATCTGTGTGAGTATTAAAATCAGATTAGATTTAGAAAATAGTTCACGGATTGTGACAAAGCTGAGCAGCGATATTTTTTACAGAATTTTTGACCAGTCACAAATATGAATATTAGTATCTGTCTTGTGTGACCCTCCTGAAGCTGTGTAACTCAGTATGTTAATAATACAATACAATACATGAACATAAATTTAATTAGAAATTAAAGATACAAAGGAATGTCCATAATTGTATTTCAAGTGAACTATCCACTGAAACTAAACATCATTAATTTTTAGTTGTTACAAGTTTATTATATGAATAAAAATCCCTACCAATGTATTTAAATTTGTAGATGTAAATGTTTTAATTGGTATTTTATAATATCATAAGAAAATGTGATTCAAACTTACTGAGTACTCGTTGACGTATTTAAACGTGTTCCAAATCACAAGAATTCATAAAGATATGCTTTTTTTTAAAGTAATGCAGCAAACATTGTCCACAAACACCATTAAACCTAAAAGTACCATCTTTTGAGAGATAATTTGTGTTTTTATGTACATTGTGCTTTTTATTTTGTAATAAAATTAAAAAAACAAAAACATAATAAAGCTTTAAAAACAAGTACTGTCAAATCTGTATTAAAAGCCGCGGCTTCTATTAAAATGATACAATGCTACAGAGGGGATGCGGCTTTTATTAGAGAATCTACACATATGAGAAATGGTGAATTTTTGAGTCTCAATTGTTCAAAAAGATGGGTGTGGCTTCTATTAGGGATGCAGATTTTACGGTAATTGAAGTTGAGAACTGAGTTGCATTTTTTTCTCAGTTTGTGTTTGTACTAAACATTTTGTTTTGTAATTATTCTCTTTATTATCTATTAGTAAGTACATGTAGTAAATAATTGTTTTGACAATAATCAGAAAATTTGAGAAAAATAATAAAAGCTTTTTCTGTTTCAACACTAAAAAAAAGTAAAAAAAGCCAAAAAGAGTATAATGTGGAAAAATGTAAAAAGACTGAAAGCATAAGTTACTAACAAGGTGAATGACATGCTCTCAACCATGTGACTATCTAGTAAGGCAAAAACTAATTCCCTCATTCCATATCCAGTGCATGCTGACCCTAGTATCAGTTGTTACACGAGTAACATGAATTAAAAATAGACAAAATTGCTTACACATCACTACTGTTACTAAGACCAGATTGTTTATAATATTGTTTACATGTTGCTAAGCAACGCACAAGTAATTTTTCTTACTGTGAGGGCAGTGGATTAATGCCAGCCCTTACCTTGGTACTTGATAACACAATGGACTATAGAGTATGCAACAAAGGAGCACAATCATCTATCAAGGAGTGGTCATTAACGACTTATATTTTTATAATTCTATGTAAAGTTTATCATTGGAAAGTCTTGAAGGAAGATAGATGCTAAAAATAACTGTAGAAATTATGTTTTCCCTTCACTTACTTTTCAGCTAGTGTTTTTTTAAAAGATGATGTTTATGCAATTTTTTTGTTTTGTTTTTTGTTTTCCCTCTATAAACATCTTATTTTTTTCCCATAAATATTTTGTTTTCAAATTTTCGAATCAACCCCTCCCTCCTAATGAAAAGATTGACATTTTTCATATAAAAGGTACAATTCAACCCAAAGCACCTCAACACCAAATACAAAAGCAATCAAATCAAGTAGAAGTGAAAAGTTTATGACAACAATCAGTCATAATATCATTAAAGTGGAGCAGAAAAAAAAAATTATTCGTTGTTTCTCAAACATTTCACTTGAAATTGCAGAACTCACAACATTTCCGATAAGAGCAGTGAAGCTGATTGCCAAAGTCAAGCTGTGTGTATACAATAAGTAAATGCTGTCGTTGGTGGCATTGTTCTCAACACAACTGTTTTGCGTCTATACAAACACTATAAACAGCACCTTTCATTACAATGAGTTCAGTTCACAAAATAAAGCCAGTTAACTGATGAACGACTGCTAAATAATCAATTTCAGCCTTGTGAAGAAGTAAACATGTTATATAGCAAGTTTTAAAACACTACAGTCAGAGAGTAACTTTACTTCCAAACTGGTTATCAACAGGCTTTGACTTTCATTTCAACTTGGACATTAATTTCACTTTATTTTTTTTAATATTAGTATGTTACTACGGTAACATACAACATATTTAGGTAGATTAATCTGCACATTTCAAATATGTGGTAGTTTTTGAAACCATTAAGCCAGCATATTGCTAGATAAATATTAAGTTAGTATCTCTATGCTTAATAAGTCAGTTGTTGATTGCTTAGAGTTGCATTTTGATGTATCCTAATATTGTTATTACATCATTCACTGTAGTGTTTTGGCCCTATTTACCGGTAGCTGTTGTTGTCTAGAACAGTTTAAAAAATCTCACAATCCTTAATAACTTAACTAATCAGGCAAATGATGTAGGTGACACTCAATGCCAACTCTGATATCATTCATGAATGTTGAGTTGAAGAGACAACGAAAATAATTGTGTATTTTAGAGCACATTTTTACAATTTTTTGTTTGACAAAAGATTAAGGTATGATATAATATAAACACTATTACTCATTTGATGTAAGATGAAAATGATATTGTACATGAACTTTTAAATGAAGGCAGGCTATTAGCCTGGTATTTGCAACTGCCAGTCCAAAACAATTCAACGTATTGAAAAATGTAGATGGTTTTGAATATATTTTGGTAAAATTATCAAAGAACAATAAGAGAAAACAGAAAAATGGGAAAAAGTTGCCAGTCCAAAATTAAAGTTGCCAGTCCGTTTGGTGGGTGGACTGGTGGCTGGCTAACACCCTGCATACAGGTACCGGGGTGCAGATGAATCATGTCATCCAATGAATACTAACAAGTATTTATATGATTAAGGTATGCAAGCGTCCAATGAAAAACACAAAAATTCATACAAAATGCAATATAGTCATAAAATTGCATGAGAAGACTAAATTTAAAGAAATCCTTATTCCTTATTAAAAAAAATAGTGATTATATGAAAGAACTGATTCATATTTATCTCAGACCATTTGCAATTTGGTAATGCAATCGCTTATTTTAAAATCATGAAATACATTTTCTAATGCAGTGATGGTCTTGGTCATTTCTGCTTATGCAAACTAATATTTCTACACACCGACTGCATTTTAAATTTGGCACACACATTTGACATGTCAAGTACTGGTAATATGTGTAATTTATGGTAATAGATGTATAGTTATAGTATTCCCAAGATATTCACATCAATAGCAAAGAAAATAAATAACGCTGAATAATATGTCAGATTTTAATTAGTATAACTACCGGTAGCAAATATTGTAACATTTAAATTTGATGTTTAGCCAACAATACAATTTTAACAACAACTACATATACATATACCGGTACTTGTAACTTAAAGAAGTCAGAACTTGTATAATGTTTATCTGCTTCAACTTCCAACCATAAGTAGTACTGGTAAATATTACTGATTAAAGTCAACAGCCAAAACATCTGGTGTCTATCATGATTGTGAATAGACAAAACTTTAACTACTGTATATCATAATTCTGCTTTGCTTAGCATAATTCTGTGTTGCTAGGCATAATTCTGTGTTGCTAGGCAGAGGGAACACAACATCCTAAAAGATTTTCTCACTCCACCCACAATTCCCAAACACCATTCCAATAATTTCTTATGTTTTCATTATTATTATTTTTATCCCCATGGTACAAATAAATTCCATGAGAATTGTAATTGCAGAAGAAACAGGGATGTGATTTTTTGCATTAGTTTCCTGGCTATGACTAGATAACTACAGACACGCTACTGACAATCCTTGAGCAGTTGTGACCAGCTGATTTAATTAGAAAACTATTTAAAGCATACATAAACAAAATAGAGATGTAGGAGAAATGCTCAAAAAAAACAAAAACTCCAGAGTGAATGTGAAGTAGGAAACCATGTGAAGTATAAAACCACCTTTACACTTCTATAAATTTATTAATTATAAAATTAGCCTTCAGTTGATCCCTGGGGACAAAATTAGTGCAGCATGTGTACCAGTAATGTTCTCGACTAACCCCCCCCCCCTCCCCGGTATATCTAAGCTTTCAGATGATGTATAGGTTGTTATAGTAGCATGCTAAGTAACTTTTAAGAATGTCTGAATCACTGAGCAATTTTAACTAATTCTTCTTTTTCCTCGCTACTGCCTTAAATCCCTCATGAGTAAATAATATGTCCTGTAATTCAACCATGAAAGTTAACAGGGCTTGAACTTCCGTATTCTGAGTCAATTTCAATGTGAAAAATTTGTAAAAATGTTTTTAGAATGATTGAAATTGCGAAGAAAGTACTCATCAAGGCAATTGCCTCCATGGCCTTCATGAGTTTCAAGCTATGTAACATACATGTATACCCATATTAGTTGACTGTAAACACATCGGCTTGACGTACTAGAAATACGAGAAGTTGTGAAACCACTGTAAAAAAACCTCAAAAACTCATTTAATAAAGGGGTATATATACTGTGGCTCTGGAGGGCAGTTTCTGAGTGACAGCCAATTTTTTTTGTTTACAGTGGTTTATTCAATTTCCCCTACTCCCGGAGTCCCACTACGTCCTCTACTGTGTATAAACTGCGTACTCATGTGTCGAGTGAAATACAGTGCAGACGAATAATTTCTCAGATAGTTTGTTGTGTAAATGATATACAATGATCATGGAGGTAATATTACCTCCATGATACGACGAACACTAATGAACGAAGTTGCATATGCATTCACGAGTCATTAAATAACGCGCACATTATGTTGACAGACAATGATGCCACTATCGGCATTGAAGTCGAAATTCCTTTGGTCATTACTGGTAGCACTACTAACTTTCCTGTTATAATTCCGCTGGGCAGATGCCAAGGCAAGGCTGTTAACGTCCCTCGCCGAGTAATTTAATTCTTACAAATAACACTCACCTGTTTTTCCTTAATATTTTCACCAATTGCAAGAGCTGCGAGGCGAGATTTGGTTTTTGTATGCTCAGCGCTGGCTTGTCTCTTTTGGGGTTTGGATTTTGGCTTGTCTGCCGAGGAGGCGACATTCGTCCACCCCTTATCCGCCATGGTTGCTAGTCGATCAAAAACAAGTTATTGAAAGGTGGGGTGGATATTCAATCTTTGAGCTACGAGGTGTTGATCAAACTGAAATGTAATATCAGCAACAGATCGGGATTCACTCGGGTACATTCACAAGTTCCGTCAGCGAGTCGCCATCTTGCTCTGTTTATTGGTAAATGTCCTGGCGACATGCTAATGAGCGTGGATGAATTCATTGTGAAAAGGGGGTGACATCATTCACTTCCAATCAATCACCTACTGTTTATGTACTTGCATGGTTTCACGGCAACCCGTCACTGTCATCACTGCCCAACTTTAGATTCCAAACCATTTAACCTAGAAGCAAATAAACTACGTGCAGTAAAATAATACCACAGAAACAACGGGATGTCACTGTTATCAAAAAATATTAAAATGGACAATATATAACCAGACTGTATATGAGCAAAGACGTGCACATGTCGTGATGTCCCCCTCGTAATAGTGAGTACCTTCCATGAATAAATCAACCCTGGAATAACAAAAACAGAAATAAATAAGTAAATATTAAAAATAAGTATATGACGTTTAAAAAAGTGTAAATGTTTCACACTGAATACACAAACAGTAACATTTTATTTCGAGGCAGTTTGGCGTGTTCTAAATATAGTTCAAATTCATTTGTGTATCCAGTTAATTGTATTTTCAGTTTTCTGGTGTAGAATCTGTGTTGATATTTCATAACAGGGTAAAGTTCTGTTCTTGTGGCAATGTTGCTGACTTTTTGTCAATGCCCAATATACATATATATTTTGGTGACTAATCACTAGCAGTTGAGCCGAATGAGATTAGTAACTTAGGCTAAATTACATAAAATCATATACACGTACGTCATTATTGAAACAATAATGGGCCGAGGCTACGACATCGTATTGAATTTATAGCATGTGTCTGCTAACGCTATGAATATACTGCCATATTTTATCTTATGTCCCTTGGTGGCCGAGGGGAAGACGTGTAGTGGCGTGAAGCTAGGCGATTTGGTGCCGTACGCGAGCTCCGGTTCGAGTCACGCACGCAGTACGTATTTACTATAATTAGACATAGTCTTTACCTTGCCGTTTATTCGGTGTTATTTGCTTAAGTTGTTCGCAGGCATTCAAACTAATAAATAGGGGCAGACAATGTATCACAATTTTTGTTTCAAATTGTCACGTAATTATTGACTTAGAAGGTCCGCTAGTACCTTCCATGCTTAGAACTTATATCATGCAAAATATTTGTTTGCAAAAATACTTTCTGAAACATTCCATCAACTTCCGTATTAAAGGGGTATTTCTAAAAAAAAAAATACATAGCATTCACCAGTAATTTGCGACAACCATAAATATCCATCTCATTACACATAATTTGTTCATTCTATGATGTAACTAGACGAAATTTTGAAATATGATGGGATTTAGTCCATTGGAAACTAATAGTAAAAAATCACAATTTTTATGGATGTTGGCCTTTTATTTGCGCGACAAGTAGAGTGACCATATATTTTCTCTGGATTTTGTGAACACTGAGCAGCATACACAAACCATAATGTAAATGTCAACAACACTAAACATCTATGATAGCCATTTAAATCGTAATAGTGCAAACAAGAATTTGACATCATCCGTGTCTGACCATGAATTGCTTTGCCCAACTTACAATATTATAACAACGTGTTATATTATTTTGAAGGTAGATTATGCATTTCCCATGTTGCATGAATATAACATGTGATGCACCAATGTATTGTACTGTAAACACGTAACTCCTTAAGTTGCGACAATTCCATTGTCATGTCATTTTGGATGTGTTTAAATTGTAAAAATGTTCAATCATTGATAAATAAATTACGAAGAGCAAATAAACAACAAACTTTGAAACTTTGAATCGCAGGGAATAATTTAGCAAAATTTGAGAAAATTCCTGCGTTGTATTTAAAGTTATATATTTACACTGTTATATTTTATTAAAGTTTTGCTGTTGATTTACCTCAGAATTTCCATTACGTGTTTCGAACTCGCATCGTGATTCGAAAGGGGGGGGGTGTTGTCTAGTGTAATATGCGAAACTCGGGTAGATTGGAGGCTGCGATAATAGATTTTTCATGTATAATAAAACGTGGAACCCTTTTTCCAAATCTCCTAAAACCAGACCATTGAATATACGCTTCCGATAGGTAATGGTGGCGTCAAGATACTTTTTTAGTTATGGGTAAAAAAAGTTCGTGTCAGATACCAAGGTCGTTACACTCCATTGACAGTGTATTTTTTCGTTGGCAACCACTCATGTCAGTCTTAGGACGGTCACAGTTGTTAGACACCGTGACTGTTATACTACAATTGGCCAATAACAACCACCAAGATTCCAAATCAACAGAAAAAATAAATAAACTGACGATAACTCACTACTCGTTAAATACTAGTATCTCCCAATTACAAGTATTACGAGTTAGATATATCGTTATTACAAGCAAGTCCAACTATACAGGGCTTATTTTACTGTGAATCGAAAGTATCTCATTATTACAAGTTGGTATCGGTATTGTTATGCCTATCGTGATACAATTTAGTATTTCATTATTACCTGTTAGTAACTCATTGTACGAGTTAGATACCTCATTACGAATTCAAATCTCGCTTTAACGAATTAATATGTCATTATTACCCGCTTGTAACTCATTACAAATTAGTATCTCGCTATAAGTAGTATGCTAATTAATATACCCGATTTCCAATACCAAAATCATTGTATGAACGAATCTTTGAGTATCTTCAATGGTCTCCACAAGTAAAAAATAATGCTGGTGGCACTGTACAGAATGACATAGTGTTCCCATGACCTGTTCTGGTGCAGCCGAGTGTCAGTCTCATTGAATGCTTATACCTGTTGATGCAGCAAATCATGTCCTTATTAAGACACAAATCCAATTACCATGAAGATATTTTTAGATGTTGTACTGAAGCCTTGGCACTTATTTACCACATACGATATTTAGCACGCAAGTACATAGGATTACATAGAAAATGTACAATTGATACTACCGGCACTACCATATGATTGAAATTTAGATAATTTAATATAAAGATTTAGGAGAAATGTAGCAATAATAATAATTGCAGAGGCTTCTGTTCCATAGAATTTAGTTCTCAGAAACTTCTTCAAATAAATAAAATATTTATCAGCAAAGTTCAATGGTTTACATGATCCTGTGTTTTTACCATTGAACAGAATGTTTACGAGTTGAAAATGTAATAGCTGCATTACAAGACAATCACTTATCAGAATAGGTCTACTCAGGGAACTTCACTGATATCTAAGCTCAGCAATAAGACTATCAGCAAGTGGGTTTACCTTGTGCGTTTTACATACAAATATCATACATATTGTGACGTTAAATGCGGGGGGGGGGCCTTTATGGTGCTACACCGTATTCAGGATCGGGGAGTTTGTCTTTAATACCGGTCTAATAGTCTTTGTCTTTGGTAGCGTGCTTATCTAATAAGTCTCCTCCCTCTCAGCTCGTCCGCT